GCACTTACCCTCAACAGTGGGCAAACGCGTCATGCTGCATTCAACACACACACACACAGAGAGAGAGAGAGAGAGAGAGAGAGAGAGAGAGAGAGGCTTGCGTTAAAGGGATAGTTCACTCAAAATTATTATTTTTTTTATATTTAGTGAACTATGCCTTTAAAGAAAAAATATGTTTTATGCAACAACAACAAAATTAAATAATCAAATAGATAAAAATAAATAATTTGGGGAAAAAAAAGCATTTCTGTAATTTTATTTTAATGTTATGCAAAAAAGCAGCATTAAAATGCAGCAACCAATGAGAGCAGGTATAGTTACACTTAAAAGTCAATCAGCATTAGTGTTCATCTATATTTTATACATGATATTCTTTGAAGTCAGAAATTAACTTTATAGTAAGGGGACATGTTTCTAACCATAAAAACACATTTTTATCTCTCCTTCTTATAAATGAAGCCTAAATCTGCATAATAGGTTGTTGGCAATAAATTCAATATCAACCAATTTTATGCAATATGTAATATTTTGCTTGTTTATGGAGAAACATAAAAAGTACATAAATATTTATAAAAAATATAATATAAAAATATATATTAAAAAAGGAATTAATCAAAGTCATGTTGGTGGCTTTTTTACTTTTATAAATAATTGTTAAAAATATATATTTTTTAATTGTCATTTTTCGTGGCTTTTTTTAATGTTTTTATTTTTATTTACATTTAGTAATTTAGCAGACGCTTTTATCCAAAGCGACTTACAAATGAGGACAATAGAAGCAATCAAAATCAACAAAAGAGCAATGATATGCAAGCGCTATAATAAGTCCCAGTTAGCTTAACGCAGTACACGTAGCAAGGTTTTTTTTAAATAATATAATAAATAAAAAGAAAACCGATAGAATAGAAAAAGAATAGAGCAAGCTAGTGTTAGAGGTCTTTTTGCTTTTGTTAATTGTGTAATAAATGAAAAGAAAACAGATAGAATACAAAAAGATTAGAAAGCAAGTGGTTTTTTTTTAAAGAAAACAAGCAGCAAATGAATAGAGTGCAAGTTTAAAAGAGATAAGTGTTTTTTTTTTTGTTTTTGTTTATGCAAATAACCAGCATTACAATGCATCAACTACCAATAAGAGCAAGTATGTAATATTTTACATATTTTATGGAAGAAAAACTATACATAATCAAATAAATATAATTTTTAAAAGGGCATTTTTATTTTACTTTATACAAATGAGCAGCATTACAAGGCAGCAACTACCAATGAGAGCGAGTAGCTTTGATTGATGGCAACCAACTTTACAGCAATTAATTTTCTGCATGAATGCACAAACCACTGTCTTGACCAAAGGGGAGAGATGTGACAAATCTGCATGAATGAACACCTTGACAACGCTCATGCAAAACGAATGACTTGGTCAGTTTGTCGCTATAAGCCAAGTTTTTTTTTTTTGTTTTTGTTTATGCACATAACCAGCATTACAATGCATCAACTACCAATAAGAGCAAGTATGTAATATTTTACATATTTTATGGAAGAAAAACTATACATAATCAAATAAATATAATTTTTAAAAGGGCATTTTTATTTTACTTTATACAAATGAGCAGCATTACAAGGCAGCAACTACCAATGAGAGCGAGTAGCTTTGATTGATGGCAACCAACTTTACAGCAATTAATTTTCTGCATGAATGCACAAACCACTGTCTTGACCAAAGGGGAGAGATGTGACAAATCTGCATGAATGAACACCTTGACAACGCTCATGCAAAACGAATGACTTGGTCAGTTTGTCGCTATAAGCCACTTTGAACATCCGTTAACCCTATGAGAGCAAACAACGATGTGTTAAAATGTTCTATGGGATTGCCTTTTTTTTCTTTTCTTTTTTTTTTCAAATCAATGAATCTGTCTGCATTGCAATTGCAGTGTAGAGTGGGAGTCATCCTACAATGCATCTACACTATAAATAAAGTGTGCAATGTGACCAAACTAGATAGATGTTAATTTTGTTTTGTTGCATATCTCTACAGTGTTAATGCCCAGCAATTCAGAGTGAATAGAGGGAAAAAAAAACGTGCAGGCTGTGAGTGCAGGTTGAGACCCAGCCCCTGACATTCCAATCCGTACCTGTGCATGCTGAGGAGTGAGTGGAGGTGTGCCGGCGCTTAAGAGAGCCACTATTTACCCGCTGGGCCGGAAAGCCTCAAGGAGGAGGAGGAGGAGGAGGAGGAGGAGAGGCCAGTGGGTGCATTACTCGGTTTAGACGTGGCCAGGAACAAAAAAAAAAAAGCCCTGAAAATGCCGCCGACAGCAATTGTCAGCATGGCCCTTGCGCTCTCTGACACACACACACTGCAGTTCACACATACATTCATTCTCTCTCTTTTTTTATTGGATACATGTGACAGGATTTGCTCTGTATTGCTCCTGCTAGGAGGAAATAAACCGAGACATTAATAAAAAAAAATGAATTTCTGATACTACTGGATTTTGGATGTGGCATCAAGATGACAGCATATTTCTTTAAACAGCAGTACCATTATATTATTTGACCTACCTTAGAGAAATTAACTTTTCATTGGGAGTAATATTTCTAACCATCTTTTGCTTCAAACATTTCAATTAGATGAAGTCTCTGCATAATTATATACACTAAAATATTTTGCATATTTTATTCAAGAACATCAAATAATTCATTCCAAACAAATAATTAAATAAATCACTAAATATAAATAATTAGAAAATAAAAATATGCACACCTAATAAAATTTAACTAAAGGAAAAAAAACATTTTTTGGTGCAGTTTTGCCCTGAGCCCCTTTTTATTTTTGACCTAGACTTGAAATAGTTTACATACATCAATGCTATGTGAATATAGTAATCTGTCAGTACCATGGTGTGCACATATTTGTGAATGATTGGGAGCAGTGAGCCATCCATTCAGAAGAAAGGACTGGAAAAATGCAGTCCACAACAGTAGTACCATGTGCCGACCGGAAAGACGTTATGTAAATGGGTCACTCATTAAAAGTTTATTAAGAATAATAAACTCTGTCTGTCTCTGTCTGTGTGTGCGTGTGTGTGTACTTGGAAACGGGTAGAAGGGAAAAAGTGCCACTCAGTGGTGGGGATGAAGGTATAGCCTTTTGAGAATATCGAATAGAATATCAAAGTATTAAACAAACACGTAAAGTGGTTAGTCCATTACACTACTTGCTTGAGAAAGCTACATTTATCACATTAACTAAAGTTTTCCTACAAAATATCATAGTTGCTCTTATTACACTTTTTGTTACTTGGTTTTAACCACAAATGTCATTAAAATGCAACACAATGATAATTCTGAATAAACTATTGCTTTACTGAACAATAATAACAAAAGCATTTAGGCAGAAACTATGCTTACTGTTGTAAATTATGGTAAGGGTGCAGTTAATTTGTAATACAAATAATGTAACAAGCAATCAGAAATCACAAGAGCAATTATAAAATTACTAATTTACTCATCTTCTCTGTAAATACTGCATTGCAGAAGGATATGGACTAACATTTTAAATATTATTACTTCTTAAGTGTAATAATTGGTATCATTTCCAACCAATCAATGAATTAAATACTCATATTTACAGTGGCATTATAAAAGCTTCAATAAATCACTTTTAGTGAGAATAAAGTCAACATGAAATGGCATTCACAATCCATATTCCACATGACATTTTGGATTGAAACGACAAAAATAATGGCTAGGGATGAAAATGCATGTTAAGAATGCTTGTTAACTTGAAACAAAAGCTCCAAAGAAATGTATCTGGGAGTTCAAATTTTATTGGCATTATTATGCAAGACAAGAGAATTGATCACATTAACTAAAGTTTTCCTACAAAATATCATAGTTGCTCTTATTACACTTTTTGTTACTTGGTTTTAACCACAAATGTCATTAAAATGCAACAATGATAATTCTGAATAAACTATTGCTTTACTGAACAATAATAACAAAAGCATTTAGGCAGAAACTATGCTTACTGTTGTAAATTATGGTAAGGGTGCAGTTAATTTGTAATACAAATAATGTAACAAGCAATCAGAAATCACAAGAGCAATTATAAAATTACTAATTTACTCATCTTCTCTGTAAATACTGCATTGCAGAAGGATATGGACTAACATTTTAAATATTATTACTTCTTAAGTGTAATAATTGGTATCATTTCCAACCAATCAATGAATTAAATACTCATATTTACAGTGGCATTATAAAAGCTTCAATAAATCACTTTTAGTGAGAATAAAGTCAACATGAAATGGCATTCACAATCCATATTCCACATGACATTTTGGATTGAAACGACAAAAATAATGGCTAGGGATGAAAATGCATGTTAAGAATGCTTGTTAACTTGAAACAAAAGCTCCAAAGAAATGTATCTGGGAGTTCAAATTTTATTGGCATTATTATGCAAGACAAGAGAATAAACATAGCACACAATCATCTCTGCCAATCAGAGAAAATCCAAAATTATTATTCCAACAAAAGTTGGTTGGTTGTTTTACATACATTTAATAAATGTAAGTTGCCTTTTTTGTTGTTGTTGTTTGTTTACTGGATTAGTCGTTTAAACTGCTGTAACAGAGTTAACCATGCATTTCTTTTAATATCCGATATTGCTAAAGAGGCTTGTGATTAATAGAAACAAATGACAGTTGCATTCAGGCATTCAAGTAACTAAAGTCATCTAGGCAGGTCACAGCTTGAGCAAAGTCACAACTTTAAAAAAACCTATAAAAAGAGGGGGGAAAACTGAAGGTGCAAAAGGTAATTATATATTTTAGGATAAGTACAAATTCCATTTCCAGTTTGAAACACATCAATTAAGTTTCTTAATCATTTACTATTAAGTTAAGCGAGACATAACTTAAGAAGAAGAGAAACTGTGCAACTGTACTTTACATCACCGTTAGCTAAAGTTACGCGTCAAATTCTATCTAAACTTGGTATATTAATACTGCAATGCAATCAAATTTGCCAAGGCCTTGGATGCAACGAAGCAAAGAGAATTAAACTAGTCTAATTTCATATGTTTAAGACTGCTAACCCAGTTTGGTAAAAGACATTGCGTAGGATGTCTTGGCTGCATATTTCTAGTGATCTTTTGCAGTTTTTCCCGACCCAAGTACACAAATCCATTACTCCGCATGCAGTGTGTGGAAAGATTAAGCGTAAAGTGACTTTTTTTGTCTTGTCCAAATCTAGTAATCAACCAGACGTTTATGGGCTGAGGCCAACTGGGAGTTACAATGTGAAAACTGGAGCGGATTTGCACTCGTTCAGAGCACAGAAAAACCTTCCGCTTTTACCAAGTTCAGTTCAGAACGTTTGACAGAGATACCGGTTTTATTTTTTCTCTTCTTCCTCTTCCCCTCAGTGGGATCCAGTCCAGTTCATTTGATGGGTTGCAAATCATCAAGGAATTTCACATTAGGAAGGAATGTTTTGGTGAGGCGACCTTGAAAGAGACAAGAGTGAATGAGAGCGAAGCTTGTTTTTTTGGAGGTCTGCCACCATGGCCTTCAATGTGCAAACTCCATATAAGCAAGGTTATGAGAGCCATTATCAATGAAGCAAATGACATCCGGCTTGCGTGGCCAAGTGAACAAAAGCAAAATCAGTTCTTGTGTTGTTCTGGTACAAATTCAAACCAAGAAAAATGTCACTAAAAGGTTCCTCCACCATAGGTTAAACGTACTGTATATTTACTTCTTTTTTTTAAAGACACAAATCTCATGTTATTTTGTTGTGAGACCTACTTAGACAAACTACTTTCTAATGTAGAAATAACTTTGCATGAAAAGTGACTAGTTTTAAACAAAAGCCCCCCCCCCTTAAAATCGTAACTTTGGTCGGTCCCAAGAGGTTTTTATAAACTATTTTGTATGCAACCCTATCACTGCACAAAATCATAAAATTGCAACCTTTGCAGTAAATAATCATGTTAGCACAATAATCTTTTTACACAAATTGTAGTTTTGACTGCACAAGTCAAGTACAAACATTCAATCCTGCTATCAAAGTTATTACAAAAATGGTAAAACAAATATGTTAGTCTAGTTTATGAGAAATATTGGTTCACTTTTCACAAAGACAGACTAAATAAATTAATAAATAAAATTAAATTTTGTTCAGTCATTTGAGACCAACAACATACACATTGAGGTAACATATATGACATTTCTCGAATATCAAAAGATAATTTTTTGGCTATATCGCCCAGTCCTAGTCACATGTCATTTCCCCGAATGATTTAAATGCACATGTTTAACCTGCTTGGTTATTATGCATATTGGGTAATTCCTCACCAGAAAGGAAGAGTTCCTTCAACAAATAACATGACAGCCACAGTAATTAGGTTCACCGCAAAAACAAAAATAAATAAATAAAATAAAGCGATCGAGTAAGTGTCGAGTTGAAGTCTTGAGTAAGAGCAGCCAAATATTTAACCACATTTAGCAAAAACAAGTCAGATACTTCTGTAACGGTAGAAACATAAGAGTGCATGCTGGTTCATCAATCAAACCAATCTATAGACTGGTATCAAAGCATAGAAAATGCAATTCTTGCAATAAAGTATGATGGAATCCGCAAATCATTTCATAACTACACAATCTTTTAATGCATATGCATGCACAATTTTTTTTTATGCATTTCTGTTTTGACAGAACAATGGCTGATAGGGGAAAGACTTAAAGGGATAGTTCACCCAAAAATGCAAATTTTATGTTTATCTGCTTACCCCCAGGGCATCAAAGATGTAGGTGACTGTTTCTTCAGTAGGACACAAACGGAGATTTTTTAAGTCAAACCGTTGCAGTCTATCAGTCTTATAATGCAAGTGGATGGGAATCATGGCTTTGAGAGTCAAAAAAAACATACACAAACAAAACCAAATTAAACCCGGTGGTTCCTGACGATACATTGATGTGTAAAGACACGAAACGATCGGTCTGTGCACGAAACTGAACAGTATTTATATAGTTTTTTTACCTCTGATTTACTGCAATGTCCGAACTGTCCGGCGCCTGACGCGTCTTCTTGCTTTATGGCAGATCGCAGACTTATAAGAGCATTACCGCCACCTATCTCTCAAATGGACCATTGACACTCCTAACTGAGATTTTACATAGAGTGTCAATGGTCCATTTGAGAGATAGGTGGCGGTAATGCACTAATAAGTCTGCGATCCGCCGTAAAGCAAGAAGACGCGTCAGGCACCGGCTGTTGAACACGCTCAGGATGCACTCTGGACAGTTCGGACATTGCGGTGAAAATCAAAGGTAAAAAAACGATATAAATACTGTTCAGTTTCTTGCACAAACCGATCGTTTCGTGTCTTTACACATCAATGTATCATCACGAGCCGCAGGGTTTAATTTGGTTTTGTTTGTGTATGTTTTTTGACTCTCAAAGCCGTGATTCCCATTCACCTCCATTATATGACTGACAGACTGCAACGGTTTGAGTTTAAAATCTCTGTTTGTGTTCTACTGAAGAAACAAAGTCACCTACATCTTGGATGCCCTGGAGGTAAGCAGATAAACATAACATTTTCATTTCTGGGTGAATTATCCCTTTAAAAAAAAAACTTTGCATTTGTAAAAAAAACACAAAGATTTAAATAAATAATTGAATAAAATTACCCTTTTTATTAAGTGATTTGAGAGCAACTACACACACCGAGATCTATGAAAAAGATGTTTTTGCTATTTGGTTTGCAAAGATTGCAACACACCTTTAATAATCAGGTATAATTAATATAACAAAACCTAATCAATTGCACTGTCATTTCTTTCCTATATACAATTATTGACCAGTTTTCTGTTGTAAAAGTTGTTCCATCATTTTGAAAAGAATGGGACATGGGTAAATAATTATACCTCTATTATCAACAGAATCACGATTTTGGTTTGTGTGTGTGTGTGTGTGTGTGTGTGATGCCATTCTCACCTCTAGTACAGGAGGAAGAAGCGGGTTCGGAGTGAAGACGCCATGCTTTCTGACATGTTACGCACTTTCAGGTAGTTCACGAACCCTCTGAAGAACAGCAGGAGTCCTGGAGTGCATGACAGACAGGTCATAGGTCAATAACTAGATGCTCTAAAGAAACTTTAGGGCCGTTTCCCACTCACATCCATCAGACAACAGAAAAAGAAAAGTAATAGTACACCTAGCTGCTCTTAGCAAATCACACTAATTCAAAATGCTCAAAGTGAATATATTGCAGTATTTAGGTTACTGCAGTCATATTATGTCACAAAATTATAAGATTTCCAAATTTTCCAAAAGCCTCAAAGCCCTCAAGATTATTGTTCATTAATATTATCTACTCTAATTAACAAAATGCATTTAGGTCATAATGCATTTATTAATGAAAGTATGTATTTGGAAGTGCATTTTGAATCATGTCGTCATGTAGTCAGTCAACCAGCAGGTAGCGCTAGAGTACTGCAGATGAATGACAAAAACTTCTCAATAACTATTTTACAGTGATTAAAATACAATTAAAATTCTGTCATTGTTTACTCACACTCAAGCTGTTCCAAACCTGTAGGGGTTTCTTTTCTCCGGTGAGCACAAAAGATGATATTTAAATAGCACTGGTAACCAAACACTTGCATACTATGCCAAAATTACCATGGAAGTCAATAGCTACCTGCTCGATTACCAACATTCTTGAAAATGTCTTCTTTTGAGTTTAACAGAAGAAAGTTGCACAGGTTTGTAACAACTTGAAGGCGAGTAAATAATGACAAATGTTTCATTTTTGGTTGAACTATCCCTTTAACACTCATTCGGCTATTATCAGATCATCAAACTATAAAAGTCCTACTTAATATAGCATGAAAACAACTTACCAAGAACAAGGAAAATCCACCAGAGCCAGTACTGCCCATTGAAGTATCCAGTAAAGTAATCTGAAAACTGTAAAGACCATTGAGCTTCAAGTTTAATAATGATTAAATTCACATTCATAACACAATGTTCCACTCACTCAAAGAGAACCCCTGAGTTTTTGTATCCTCCTGTGTGGGTTTTGAGTTAATCGATTTATTACTTAGAGACTCACCCTCACAATGAGGATCCATTTGATAAGAGAGAGGCCAAAGCCACAGATGGCACCATATCGGCCAGCAATGGTGTTGGTCAAACAGAAAGACAAGCAAAACCCAATCCAGTTGAACAGAAAGGCCACTGGTTACACAAAAAGAGAGCGAATAATGCGTTAATGAAGAATGACTGTATTTTAAAGTACATGTAAATATCTTCAGTAACTATTCTGTATTTTTATGTGCAGACCATCTTGAAAAACTGCTTACATATGTCCCAAAGATGGTGATGCATTGTTAAATGAAAGCATGACTAATCATTTATTAAACATGACTGGACTATGATCGACTGCACTGCAATGTGTTATGCCAGTGGTTCCCAACCCTGGTCCTGGAGACACCCCAACAATGCACGCTTTTGCATGTCTCCTTAATCAAACACACCTGATTCAGGTCATTAGCTCATTAGTAGAGACTTCAAGACCTGAAATTGGTGTGTCAGAGAAAGGAGACATGCAAAATGTGCAGTGGTGGGGGGCCACATTACATAAGACTTCTTCATCTGAGCTCAGAGAAATCAGAGTATCTGTGGGATTCTCTTTCTAGGTCATGGCTTTTATGGCACACCACATCCTCAAAAAGGCTCTCCTTATGTTACTGCTAAAAGCTAATCACACATGATTTTAAGAGATGTCTCATTTCATTTTGGTCATCATTAAATCATAGCAGCATTACTACAGCAATGTATTTCATTTGAGGGAATTTTTTGGACTGTACCGAAGCTGCAGTGGAAAGTTGTGCGAATCGAGGGCTTGGCGTTTGGTTCTGCAGAACGTGTGGGTGCGTAGGCCGATGAGATACTCACTCGTGGAATGACCTCCACCGCTGAGACAGCCATGGCTGCCGCTTTGGCCTTCTCTGCCTCATCGTAAGTGGGCAGAGACGTGGCAATGCTGTATGGTGGAGGAACGGGAAAGTCCCCCGGAAATGTGCTCTCTGAAATGCAATAGAATACATAGGTCAGCCATACGCCACACATTTCTAGCTATGAGTCTTCTAAACCATGAGTCTTCCAAACCTAAGTCAAGCATCACGATTACTATTCCCCATATTTAGAGATCTGAATAAAACGCAAAAGCACCAAGCTGTGACGCATAACTAGCCATCAGACTTACGAGTTTCGCCTTTGATAAAACATGCATAAGAACTGATAGACTTACACTGAGCCACACCTAGAGACCAAAACGCAAGACTTGGGTCAATAACTAGAGACCTAGCATCTACACAACAATGCAATCATTTCAGACTTAAGATTTTAATTGTAATCTTAAGTGTGCTAAAGCTTGCAAATCTCACACTGGGATCGGTAAGATTTTTAAATGTTTTAGAACAAAGTATTTTATGCCCACCAAGGCTGCTTGTATTATACAATAAATAAATAAATATTGTGAAATATTATTTAAATAGACAAATAGAAGTCTTCGTTAAAGCGCTATAAGCCATGAACCAAGCCAACCAGCTATGAGGTGAATCACAGCAGTAATAACTTTGGTTTGAAGCAACAACAACAAGTTAACTATCCCTTTAACATCATTCATCATTTGGTTCTGACATAAGTGAAAAAAAAAAAAGATGTCGGTCTTTTCAGTAAACAACATTTGACTGCAGGACTACATCTGGCAAGTTTTTGAACTGGACTGCTCTGTAGCCATTCCCTTTCACTGTATGATTTCACTTTTGCACAGCATCAACTTTCTGCACAACATGTGTGTGTTCCACGGGTTTGGAATGACACGAGGCTGAGAAAATGGCAAATTTTCATTTTTGTGTGAACTGCTCCTTTATGATCCAGCCTACGCCTTTGGTAGTAACCCAGCCCGGCTCCACACTGATACCGCAGCTCACAACAGAGCTGCTGAGGTTGTATAACAAGTAAAAGTCTTGAACAATGCTCCAATTCATTCTTTGTTTCTGAAGTGATTTCATAACAGAGCACCAGCATTGGGTGCTTGCTCTCGCTCTCTCTCTCTGAATGTCCTCAATTTGCAATTTGCAACTTTCAAATAAATAAATAAAAGTTTGTAATAATTGAAATATTTTAATGTTGAAAGAAGTCACCAAGGCTTCATTTATTTGATCAACAATACAGTAAAAAAAATTAATATTGTGAAATATTACTACAATTTAAAATAACTGTTTTCTATTTGAATATATTTTAAAATGCATCTTATTCCTGTGATGCAAAGCTGAATTTTCAGCATCATTACTCCACTCTTCAGTGGCACATGATCCTTCATTAGAAAAATCATTCTAATATGCTGATTTGCTGCTCAATTATTATTCATCATTATTAGCGTTTAGTTATGGTTCTTACCGTTTTTTGCTGCTTAATATTTCTGTGATACGTTACTCGATGAATACAACGTTTAAAAGAATGGCATTTATTTGAAACAGAAATCTTTTGTAACATTATAAATGTTTTGACTGTCCCCTTTTATCAATAATGTGTCCTGACAAAAGTATTAATTTCTATTTTAATACTTCCTTACTTATCGCAAACATTTGAGTGTATCAGGGTTTCCACAAATATATGAAGCAGAACAACCGTTTTCAACATTAATAATTGTAATAAATGTTTCTTGGACAGCAAGTCAGCATATTAGAATGATTTCTGAAGGATGACACCAATAGCTGCTGAAAATACAGCTTTATTTTATCGATTTATTTGTTAAGCCACAGTATTCAGTAAGTAGTAATTTAGTACACCATTTCAAATATAGAAACCGCATTGCTGTGTGGAGGTCACTGCAAAAGAGGCTCAGAAAAAGGAAGTTAGTTCATTTGTTTACAGATGCCAGTTGGTTTGTGATTCTGTTATCTAATGCAATGACATTCAGACCATCTTAAGAGTGTCCAAATACTTTTCGGGGCCACATTACATAAGACTTCTTCATCTGAGCTCAGAGAAATCAGAGTATCTGTGGGATTCTCTTTCTAGGTCATGGCTTTTATGGCACACCACATCCTCAAAAAGGCTCTCCTTATGTTACTGCTAAAAGCTAATCACACATGATTTTAAGAGATGTCCCATTTCATTTTGGTCATCATTAAATCATAGCAGCATTACTACAGCAATGTATTTCCTTTGAGGGAATTTTTTTGGACTGTACCGAAGCTGCAGTGGAAAGTTGTGCGAATCGAGGGCTTGGCATTTGGTTCTGCAGAACGTGTGGGTGCGTAGGCCGATGAGATACTCACTCGTGGAATGACCTCCACCGCTGAGACAGCCATGGCTGCCGCTTTGGCCTTCTCTGCCTCATCGTAAGTGGGCAGAGACGTGGCAATGCTGTATGGTGGAGGAACGGGAAAGTCCCCCGGAAATGTGCTCTCTGAAATGCAATAGAATACATAGGTCAGCCATACGCCACACATTTCTAGCTATGAGTCTTCTAAACCATGAGTCTTCCAAACCTAAGTCAAGCATCACGATTACTATTCCCCATATTTTGTTATACTTCTGACTGACAACTGTGTATAGAAATACTTGAAGTGCAATACATCCCAACGCCACCAGATGGCACGCACACAGCACTAATCGAGGAAATCAACATACAATGACAAACAATCACGCAGACGCTGTGACTGCATCTGAAATCACATACATTCCACTTCCAGCCAGATTCTGAAGTGTACATAAGATGGACACTTTACTATGCTATGAGGCCACGGCAGTGAAGCCATGCAACTGACACTGATAGGTCACATGATAATGACAACATGGCAAACATAGTATGTCCAGATTATACTCATACTACACACATGCAATATAGACCAAAGCGGTTGCAGAGTAATAGCTCCTCAAGAGAATATGTGATTTCAGATGTAGCCAATGTTTCTAATGGCATACTAGTTAACTTGCACACTACACACACACAGTATATACTGTAATATGCATAAGTTTGTTGAGCAGTATGCATTATGAAATGCTAAATCTGTAACTGGTCATATGCATAAAAGGTTGATGAAACCTTAGTTTAATTCAGTCTAGTCATTTTGTAAATAAATAGTTATTTTGCATTTTCTATCCAGTTTTATGTAAAAATGTAATGCAATTTAGTAGGATTATAATAGTGTACTATTCTAATCATGCACATGTGTAAAACATAAGCATTCTGCATTACTTACTGAAAAAAGCCAGCATAAAGATTCCATCATTTCCCACCCTCAGCTGATCAGCGTCACTGAAGTCATCACGAACCGGAAAATCCTCATCCTTTTTAACAAGACGACGAATACAGAGAAACATTTAGGAAGCAACATAAACTGGCTCAGAATTGATGCAACCTCAATGTTTCCACATCAGCAACTGCACCAGCTACATAAACAACAGTGTACTAGATACAAAGATGTTAACCACTCACAAACAAAGTCATTTACTTACAGCAGGTACAGTAGCACAAGCTGTGTGTTCAATTAAGGGTCAGAGAGGTGGAAAATGGTTATGAAAGAATGTAAAGCCTACTGTATCTTAATTCATTAAAACCTTGACAAGTTATTGCAATTTTCTTTATTGCATTTTCTGAAAGAGATCACTTTATAAAAATCACTTATAAAAAGAATAAAAATTAAGACAACAGCATGATGATATAATGCATAATTCCATAACCTGATTACTTTCCCTTCAGGAAACACTTTCACTTCAAGTACACTAGCAGCAGAGACAGGCCCTTCAGAGCAAACTGAGGTTAAGCATCTAGTTCAAGGGCTTGCATCAATAGATATTCTGTGCAATTATCTTATTTTTTTTGTTTGTAAAGGGAAAAGTTCACCAGAAAATGAAAACGAAAATCCGCTGGACGTAAACAACATATGCTGTACTGTGTCAGCTGCGTCACACGGATACGCTGTTTCTGTTCAGATCAAATCACAACGTAGGAAACAGATCCGGCGTGACGCAGCTGACACAGAACCGCATACGTTGCTTACGTCCAGCGGATATTCTTCAAAATGGCACCAGGGTGATGCGGAGGAGATGAATTGTTGAATTAACTTGTTGTCGTTTTTTCTGTTGCGCACAAAATGTATTCTCGTAGCTTCGTATAACTGCGGTTGAACCACTGATGTCACATGGATTATTTTACCGATCTCCTTGTATGTTTCTGGACTTGGGAACATTTCAGTTACGTTGCTGTCTATGCAGGGTCAGACAGCTCTCAGATTCCATCAAAAATATCTTAATATCTTAAAATTCACGGTTTATACTGTGAAAAAATTACACGAGGGTGAGTAATTAAAGTGGTCATATGATGCTGCTAAAAAGAACAATATTTTGTGTATTTGGTGTAATGAAATGGGTTTATGCGAATAATATGCTACTTAAATCACACACAGAGACAAGCGTTTCAGACCAAGTTGATTCGTCTTTCGCATCTCCTATGCGTATAATATGCTTGTAAATTGTGTATTTCTTTTTATTCTTTCTTTTTTTTTTCCATGTTTGAACTTTCTCAGACTATAGTTTTTGCTGTGGTATATGAAGAAGTACTTAAAGTGTGTGGAAAGCAAAGTTAACAGAATTTAAATTTTTGAGTTAACTATCCCTTTAACATCATTCATCATTTGGTTCTGACATAAGTGAAAAAAAAAAAAGAAGAAAGAATGTGAAACTTTTTGGTTATATAATTTTCATTTTTAAATATTTTAAAATATCATTTGAAATGATTTTACACACTTTAAGCAATATCGTATCATATATCGAATATCGCATTTTTTAACAAGGTATCGCATATCGCATTTTTCTCAAGTAGTAATTTAGTACACCATTTCAAATATAGAAACCACATTGCTGTGTGGAGGTCACTGCAAAAGAGGCTCAGAAAAAGGAAGTTAGTTCATTTGTTTACAGATGCCAGTTGGTTTGTGATTCTGTTATCTAACGCAATGACATTCAGACCATCTTAAGAGTGTCCAAATACTTTTCGGGGCCACATTACATAAGACTTCTTCATGTGTCTATTGTCATTTTTATTCAATTTAATTAATCAATTTGCTGAATAAAAATATAAAATTTCTTTGAAAGTATTAATCCTACTGACCCTAAACCTTTGAACAGTAACCAACGGCAATGATGTCATTGTAATATTTGCATAATGAATTGGACAGAATCCGCATTGTGCTTATTTTCATACACAATGACTAAAATTAAAACGTTGAGTGCCACGGCAGCTGCAGCTAATGCATCATTTACGCATACCGAAAACGTTTCTATTCTATTGCAATATAAATATAATATAAATGCAATATAAAATACATTTCTAACCTAGTAGATTCCTGCTCTTACTCTGGAAATAATAACTTTTTCCAGGTGTCTGTACCTGGTGCAGCTGTTGCTCCGAGCGCCACGCTGGCATAAGAAGGAGGCGGAGCTTCTGTATCCACCGCGGGGTTGCTGATGCCTGCGAAGGCGGCAGCGGCCTGGGAGGATGTGGACGGCTCTGCGCCGGCGGCCCCTTCAGAGGGATCGTCCTCATTGTGCAACTGAGGAAGGATAGAATCACAAAAGTTCAGAGTCAGACTGACGAATCTTGTCGTTTAATTTAAGACCAATCTGACAAGGTCTTGTGTCTTGCATTGGCTTAAATGACACCATGATGTACTCAATGAAGGGAGGATATCTTCTAACACTGCAAGGAACACGTCAACAACTTGAGTCAACAACTTGGTCGCGTAACCTTATGGTCCTCGCCTTACGATGAACTAAACAATCTGTGAAGTGTTGCAAAGCAGCACTGAATAAAACATTTAGTATTAAAAAGGAGTCTTGAATCTCAATCTGCACAAAGTGACCTGAAAACGTCTTCTGGTAATATGACAGTTTAAGATTGCAGGGAACGCACTTGGTACATCAGAGCGCAATAAGATGCACGGTTGTTTGCCAACAAAGTTAGCCAACAGGTTCACACAGTAACAGGAGAGCGGCGGTAATGCAAACCACGAGATCGAGGCACAAGGCTGTGCCTTCAGCTGCACCTGTTTGATGTGTCATTAGAAAGCAATCGTCCAAACAGATACGAGCGATTCACCAGAGTGAAATTAGTCCATTTCACATTTTGGGCAGTTTGTAGTAATCCTCATAGTAGTTGTCACAAAACCAAAACTTCTGCAGTCCACACCAATGCTAAAATGCTCAGGAATTTAATAAAAAATAACTACAGCAAAAATGCATGTGCTTATCTGCATGTGCTTTTATTTAAAAAGCATTAATATCAATATACCGAATTAGAATTTTAAAAGCAACTTTAAAAAAAAAAAAAAATAAATATCAATAAATGCCAGAAATATTCCTATAAAATTGAACCAGACAGCTCTGAATTCAAATTGTTTTAAAAAAATTAATTATGAAATTATCTCTGGGTAAGTAGTCTGGTTTACTACGCCACGCCTCCTGATAATATCTAAGGCCTCCCGACGGAGCCGAGAGTCACAGAAATCTTAGCACAGGTCAGGGGTAGGCAAGTTCGGTCCTAGAGAGCCACAGTCCTGCAAAGTTCAGCTCCAACCCTGAAAAAAAAAATTATAAATAAAACTCACCTGCCTATAGCCTTAGTAATCCTGAAGACATTGATTAGCTTATTCAGATGTGTCTGATTAGGGTTGGAGCTGAACTTTGCAGGACTGTGGCTCTCTAGGACCGAACTTGCCTACCCCTGGCATAGGTCAACGCTCTTAGGTTCAACTCTGCTATCCTCTATGAAAAGGCGAACAGAAACGGGATTAGATCCAGTGAGAGACAAAGTTCACATGAGAATGATTACACTGTAACATCAGGGCCACATCAAGGACAGCAAGAACGCCAATGGTGAATTGTGCTCTCACTTTGCACTGAGGACAACCACCAGACAACCTGCATTGGCATTACATAAACACAACAACTGCCCAGGGACAAAGCAAGCATCTCCAGTGGTTCGCAATGGACTGTTAGAAGCACTATCATACTTGAGATAAACTCTACATCTTATCTGTGTTATGACTAAAACTGCACAGAATCAGTTTGATAAAACTTTAAAAAGCCCTCACTTGACAATGTCATTTAAGCTCTTCTCAGCAGAAATATTTGGACCAATTATTAAAATGTCACTTTTGTTAACAAGTGATATACAAAAAAATAGAGAGATGCATTGGGATTTATTGGTACAATATCAATTTCGATATTTATATTAGAGGGTTTTTTTATTTATCGGTAGACATTGAATCTATATCGGCTGATACTTGATATTTAATTGTGCATTTCCCCAATTTTTACATTTTATTGTTTTGACCCAAATGCTGGGTTGAGCCTTTTGGGTAATTTTTTGGGGTTATTTTTTCAGTGTTTGGGTAGTTGTTGTGTTACCCAGCTCATGGGTCAAATGTAACAACCCAGTGTTTGGGTTGTTTTGCAGCTCCTGGTTCAGACATAACCCAATGTTTGGGTAGTTTTTGTGTTACTCAGATCCAGGTTCAGACGTAACCCAGCGCTTGACTTATTTATCGCGGGGATTTTGCATCTTCACTTCACGAGAGAGCAGTTCTAAGCACAATCGAATTGATGCATTCTTCGGTACAACACAGGTTTGTCTACATTTTATTTTATCTATAAAATCGTTACTGTGCTGTATAGCGTTCAATTTAATGTCGAGCAACATACAGGCGCGCGGTGTGAATCACTTTTAACGAGTATCACGGTCTTTTCACGTGATGCTTTGCATAAAAAACGATTTTATTCATGAAGATACAGAATATAATACTTTGTATGGATGTTAAAACATGTCCTCAGAGGTGGTCCGTTAGCAGTTCCCCGCCGAACACGACTCTAGCTCGGGTACGAGAACCAGCGCCGTTACGGTGGAAACACAATAACAGAGACTGGTCGGTTAAACGTGAATTACGTCTGTTGAATTTTTCTTCTAATGTTTGTTAAATGAGTTTAAATATAGACAATATGTATAGCCTATTAAAAATGATATAAACAATACTGTAAATGATAAATAAAGTAAAATAAAGGAAGTTATCATGAAAACCAGTGGTTGTGTGGAGTATTTTAGAAAAGTTCAGAGGATTTAAGTTAATCTGTAAACCTTATTTAATGTATGAAGTAAAAAATAAGCTAGTAATATAGTAAAAATGTATAAACACATTAGCTGGGTTAAATAAACAACCCAATTTGGGTTGTTTTTAACCCAGTGTTTTTTAGAGTGTATATTTGCCATCTAACACTCACTTAGTGTTACTAAATAACTAATGTAACATTTAACAGAAATGAATCTCAATCTGAATATTTTTAATACTGTACATTATAATGTTGTGATGCCAAAATTAATTTCAAATGATTTCAGTTTTAAAAAGTAATTAAAAAATGCATTTATTGAGACAAAATAGAACAGAATTTCAATCAGCCGTTTATCATTATGAGCCATAACATTAAAAATAATTATTGGTTTATCATATTTTAATGTTAGTGTATCCATAACAAATATTTACATTTCATACAGATATATTATATTACGGTTTATTATTTTATTTTAAAATAAAATGGTTTAACATGTTGGCCAGCATTTCGATATCACTGCACTCATTAATAAAAATAAATAAAAAAGAGGCAATGTGATTTTGTTTTCGATTTTAGGGAATGTCAGGAAAGTATTTCATGCTGAAAATGTGTTTGTTTCTTAAAATATTCATTTAATGAGGGACAATAAATACACATTAATAATACATAACATGTCAAATGTATCAGATTTAGCCAAATTGGGTCATTTTCATCCATAGTCCCTTGGTAGGTTGATGTTAAAGACAAATCACTGTCTACAAAGCTTAAAAGCTTCATAATTTCCAAACAAAGTCGTCACACCACATTGGTCTGACAGAGAAAAGACTTCAAAACTGGCTTCTCGCAGAACTGCTGAACAATAATGAAGTCCAGTTTAAAATTGCACAGTTGCATAAAATAGCAGTTCTGCAGTGTACGGACTAATGACGAGTTCAGAGCGACAAAGATAAGTGGGAGCCAGTGATATCATGGTACAAGTATAATTAAATGGATAAAGATGAAGGAGAGCTCGTGCAGTGAGAGCTGAGCTATGAAATAACGCAGGAAGAGACTTCTGAGAATGGTTCATGTGGTGAGACCACAGCCACCTAAATATCGATTTACCTTCAAATGGAAAAAGCAGCTATGCTTATTTGTTGTCGCATCTAAGAAGTGCTATTCTGCGGTGGTTACTACAGCAACATTCGAACATGCAGCGCGCTCAAAAAAGTTTGTGACTAAGTGAGCCGTTTTTTTTTTTCCCTCCTTCCTAGAAACGATGAAAAGGCTTCGAAAACACACGGAGGCCTGCTGGATGAATTACTCAATGCTCCAGGAACTTGCAATTGCTGTGCTCTTCTTTGAAAATGAAAATGTATATCAGAAAGTTCTCCTTGTTATTGACCAAGACCTCCGGAGCAGAAAATAACAGGGTTTTTGTATTATTACACAATAATATTAAGGCTATACAATATTCCCTGTTAGATAAACATTTACCAACAACCTCTGAAGCTCTAATCCAAAGTCTACAATCTGTGCTGTAGTGTGTGTAAATACTGTGGTATTTACATAGCACTACACTCCAAAAAGCATGTTATTGCCATGGTAATTCTTGGTAAGGGATATAATTTGTATTGTGTGTTTATAAAATATATTATATTCTGAGATGCTTCACATAACCATTCCCAGCGGAGCAGTGAGCCACCAGATTTCCATAATAAACAAAAGGCCCTTGATTCAGATCACTTACGGTCCAGTCCTGCTCTATTGTTGAGGGTGGAAAACTCACACTCACACACAAACCTGTGATTATACCACACTTGTGTTGTTTATGATACAGTAGAAGGTTGTAACTCCAAAACCTAACCAGGTGTCATCCAAGAGGACAGGACATTTGCAGCCAACGCGCACAGACCTGACCCCTCAAAATGCGTTTAAATATCCCAAAGACATCTATGATGCATCAAAATGCCTTTGAACACACCCAAATGTACCAATAACAACACCCAAACATGATTAAAATGCTTTCAAACTTTGTCGAGCATACCAAACTATGATGCCTTCAAAGATAATAAACATATCTCAAAATGTGTTTACATGATCTAATGGCTCAAAATACATTTAAATGCTTAAATGTTCCACATGGGCCTATGATGGCCCAAAATGCATTTATTTTTTTAGGATTACTGAAACTACTGTCATTTGATTAGTATTATTTGTAGTTATTTATTTTAATTTTAGTTACATTGTGTCTGAATTTATTATGTCTGTATAGGTATTTGATTAAGTTTTTAGTTTTATTTAATTGGAGTTATTTTAATACTTCAACAAACTAAAATGGAAATGAAATGATATATATATTGAATTTATAAATGTGTATGTACATATACAGTATATATATATGTATGGTTGTACATACAAATGTTTTTTTTTTGTGTGAGTGTGTTTGGCTTAGTGTTATGTTAGAATCATTATTATACTCTTATACCTTTTGTTCTTTAATATTTAATTGTTTTTAGCTTTATTTTTTTGTTTTTCATTTATATGTTAAGTTTTGAAATTGTGTTGTATGCATTTGTCAT